AGTGACTCTGTGTATTTCTTCCATCTTCTTTTGATGCTTTCTGCATCATTCAATAATTTGCCCAGAGAATCCTTTAGTAATGAAAGGTGAGGTTTGAATTTTCTCTTCAGTTCCCCCAGCTTGAGAAATGCTGAGCATGTTCTCTTCCTTTTTGGTTTTCTGACTCCAGATCTTTGCACATTTTGTTGTAATATTTGACTTTATCTTCTTGAGCTGACATTTGAAATTTTCTGTTCAGCTCTTGTGCCTCCTCATTTCTTCCATTTGCTTTATAGCATCTCTACATTGGAGAGCAAGTTTCAGTGTATCTTCTGACATCCATTTTGACCTTTTCCTTCTTTCTTGTCTTCTTAATGACTTTTTGCTTTCTTCCTGTATGATGTTCTTGATATCATCCCACAACTCTTCTGGTCTTCAGTCTTTTGTGTTTAATATATCAAATCTGTTCTTCAGATGATCTCTAAATTCAGGTGGGATATATTCAAGGTCATATTTTGGCTCTACTATAATATATAGTATACAAGATGAGCTCTGGTGGTTCAGTGGGTTAAACATTGGGCTGCTAATTGTGAGGTTAGCAGTTAAAACCTACCAGCCACTCCTTGAGAGAAAGGTGAGGCTGTCTGCTATCATAAAGATTTAGTCTTGGAAACCCTAAGGAGCAGTCCTACTCTGTCCACTGGGGTCATTATGAGTTGGAATTTACTCAGAGGCAGACAAGTATCAATGGTGGATATGTCCAGAAACAATGGCTTTACATTTTGATATTTTTATCTAAGAAAGATTTCTATAATTTTGCAGCAGCACTTTTTTACTTGCCCTTGTATAATAATTCTGTGGCACAAATTATTAAGTACCTGACTGCTCATGGAAGGATTGATGGTTCAATCCCACTGAGAGACACCACCAAACACAAGCCTGGAGATTTACTCATTAAGGTGACAGCTTTGAAAACCTTATGGAGCACAGTTGTCTCTGACACATGTGGGGCAGTCTTGAGTCAGACTGACTTAATGGCAACTGGTGTGGTTTGGTTTATGGGTATGTTGTGTATGCGTGTGTATACATATATTTCCAAAGGTGTAAGTGCTAGTAGTGTCCAACAAAGTCATAATGCAGTCTTAAAGGGACCCTAGATCTCAACACCATGGTGATACTCACTCACCCCCTTTCTCTGCTGTTGAAATAGGAACAAAGGGGCAGAAGAAACTGACATTTGTGGGGTGTTCAGTGCAAGTGAGGATGTGGAATGGGGGATATCATTGCTGATGTCAGATAGATCTTGGATGAAAGCAGAAAATACCAGAAAGATGTTTACTTGTGCTTTATTGACTACACCAAGGCTTTTGATAGTGTGGATTATGACAAGCTATGGACAACATCGTGAAGAATAGGTGTTCTGAAACACTTAATTGTGCTCATGAGGAACTGTACATAGACAAAGAAGCAGTTGTTTGAACAGAGCAAGAGAACACTGAATGGTTTAGAGTTAGGAAAGGTGTTTGCCAAGGTTGTATTCTTTCACCGTATTTATTCAAACTGTATGCTGAGCAAATTATTCAAGAAGCTGCATTATATGAAAAACAAAAACAAAATCATGGCATCAGGAAAAGAGGAAGACTCAACAACAGCCTATGAGATGCAGATGATACAACCTCTTTTGCTGAAAGTGAAGAGGACATAAAATACTTCCTGATGAGTATCAAAGATTACAGCCTTTGGTATGACTTGCACCTAATTGTAAAGAAAACAAAAATCCTCACAACTGTATCCATGTGTAACACCAAGATAAATATAAAGAAGATTGAAGTGGTCAAAGACTTCGTTTTGCTCATATCAGACATCAACACTCAAGAAAGCATCAGCCAAGAAATCGAATGATGTATTCCCTTAGGTAAATCTACTGCACAAAGCCTGTTTAAAATGTCAGCTTGAGAACTAAGGTGTGTCTGACCCAAGCCCTGGTATTTTCAATATACTGTGAAAGTTGGACAGTGAATAAGGAAGACCGTAGAAGAAATGATGCATTTGAGTTATGGTGTTAGACAAGAATATTGAAAGTACCATAGACTTCCAGAAGAACAAACAATCTGTGTCGGAAGAAGTACAGCCAGAGCAGAGTACCCCTTAGAAGCTGGGGGTGGGGTGGGTGGGGGCTTGATGGTGGATAGGGTAGAGGTGCAATGAAGATCTCCATCAGCAATAAC